TACGTCTGGAGAGCGCCGGTTCGTAACTCGGGCTGGCAGCGGCCGAGAGGGTTTACGGCCCAGCCTTCGCTGATCTACTCTGCCCTATGTCAGGGCTGTACCCGCAGGAATTGCAAATATCATGGGGTCTGGCATACAGCTTCGGAATAATGAAACCAACTTTTATTTTAAGGGGTGATGATATCACAAATATAAGACAAATGCTCTCTATTTGTATGTGAATATCGTCTGTATGATAGTTAAACTAATCAGCTCTTACTTTCATGCGTGTACTTTATATCCAAGCCAAGCTATTCGTAGATCAGTTATTTATAAATTTCGTCTTTTCTTCCGAACCGCAAAAGTTTTTCTCCTCTCCAGTTTTGAAAGTTAGTGACTGTTGTTGTAGCTGTTATTATTATTATTATTATTATTATTATTATTATTATTATTTATTATTATTATATGTTTATTATTACCTCTTTTAGCTATGGTCAATTAATGAAATAACATGAAATTTATAAATAGGAACCAATGTGATTCGAAGATTTATAATTACTTACACACTACTTCTGAACGTTCTTTAATAATTAAGTGAACGTAGAAACAATTTCGGCTAGCAGCGTCCTCTAATGATCGTCTCCCGTGATCCTTCTCCGAAGTCGAATTCCTTGGCGGCTGTCTCCCGTGAGCGGCGCCTTAATGTCTCCTGGGCAAACGTCTTCATCGCGTCGCGAAACATTCCAGAAGACGTCGTTCGCGACGGCGGCGGCGACGGCGAGAGCGTCTTGGATGGCAAGCGTCAGCAGTCACCTCAGCCGCCTCGAGAGCGCCCACGTCGGCTTCTCGCTTTTTGTCGCCAGTGTTAGTGCGCGCACCCTTTCTCTATGGAACTGCCTTTTGTTATGGCGGACCGGGCCCCTTTATGGCATCTAGCCGTAAGCTGTCTCGTCAATGGGACGTGGCATCATGGGACGGAGAGCGTTGCCTACTTGGGTGAAGGCGCGATCACAATATTGATGTGCAACATTAATAAAAAGGTTATTTGGAAGCAGTGCATATTCGATAAGCCTATATGAATATCTGAGGACACACCATAAAATAGTTAAATTATGAAATGAGTTTGATTTTCAAGTATTTGTGAAAGGAAGAGAATTAAACAATGTAATAAAACGTCACACCCAAAAGTAGAGATCCAAGAATTCTGTGGGAGCACTAATTGAATTCCCCTCTGTTTTTCAAATGAAATTCAATTGGAAGGATGTTAATTCGTATGAGACTCAGAAAACAGAGAGTTCTCACAACATCGAAAGAAACAAAGAAATAAAAAATTAATACTATTAAAGTATTAATAATTAAATGAAATATATCAATCTATAACATCCTAATTTCATGTCGAATGTTTTAAACTTAAATCTGCTACCGATATTCTCTCGTTTTTCTACTAAGTTCTCACAATATTATTAAAGAAATACAAATTTGCAATGGCTTAGTTTAAGGGGCAAAATACCTAAACCTCTTAGAACTTCTTAAACTGTAACTGTAAAGTAATAAACGCTATATGCAAAGTGAAGAAAATCTACCGAAAAAGGAAATGAGAAATATTGCATTACTTCATGAACTAGTAATGATTTATATCTTCTGTTGTTTACACAAATACGTTACCTGAAACTAGAAACAATACTGTAACAAGGAATGCGTTCTGACCAGAATAAAAGGGTGGTTTCTTTCCAAATCAAAATAAGATCTCTCACACTCAATCACATATTAGTTCATTCCAAAAGGTATTTTCATTTATTACTACGCGTTACACACAAACGATAGCCAATTCATTTCTAAGCATGTCTTTTCCGTAGAACATGAATGATAAGTAAATACTTCTTA